GAAAAAATAATAAAAATTCCTGAAATATTTTAATATGATAGACGAAAAACAACAGATATTTATCAATAATGTCAATATATCTACAAATTTGTATTTATCATTGCATATAAAATAGGTAGAATCAAGCATAACATACGAAAGAGAATATGTACGGATAAAAGATATAGGAAATATAGCGATTATATATCTATTTGTTATCTTCCAATGGTATTGTCATTATCTAGAACCTTATTATCACCGTTCTGGCGTATTGGGAAATTCTGGATGGAATTCTATCAACAACATTTAGGACGATATTTTACATATTGCTGTTATTTTTCACTAATTTATTATGTACAGCATTGTATTATTGATGCTATAAATAGTTATAAACTGTACAATTGTTCTCGGAAAAATCAGAAAGACTTGAAAATCTCTTTCTATATATAAAGAATCATTTTCTGTCGAAAGTACCAATCCATCTACAAAATACAAAAAAGAAATAAATTGGTATTTTTATTACTAAATAAATATTTATAGAGAAAAATGCCAAAACTAGAATTACAAATTCATTTGTGATTGCATCATTGATAGATTCATATTTTAATAACATGTAAGTGCTGTCTATGAATAATAATCCAGTTTTAAAACATGATTTTTTTTGATAATTTAAAAGAAAGAAAAACAGATTTTTTTTGTTGTAGAATGTAACGAATCAGTCTTATATGTTCTGTTTCTTTTGTACTCTCATTATTGAGTGACAACAACGGAAATAGAGATGTGTGAAGGATCAAGTATTTTTGGTTTCGGACCCAATCTCGGCCCAGAGAAAACTATTCCAGAATTTATTCATTATTACATCCAAAACAAATCGTTCAATATTCATTTTTTGATTTATTTTTGGGCGATGATTAGCACTGTTTTTTGAGTGATCTCTCTTGAGTTATGTTCTGATTGATGATTTATAAGATAATTTACTTAAAATCTTAGAACATTTAACTATAATCTTTTGTTTTGGTTAGAAAAACTTGTTTTCTCGTAGTTCTGATTCTGGTTCCAGCAAACTTCCAGATTTTAGCCTCAATCTCAACCACCGAGGCCTAGACGAAAATTTATCCCACACATCTCTAATAAGAAACCTAGTGATATACTAACTGAGTTCTCTAATGATATTAACTTTAACCATTTCCTTCATAAAATCCATTTTAATTAAAAAAGAAAAGAGTTCTTTCATATTAATTATTAGAAATTGATATAATCAAAAAATGGCAATAAATGCAAGCAGTAATTTATTACGTAAGTTGGCATACGTATAAAATATTCATAATAATCGTTTCGTTATTTTTTTTTCTTTATTTTAGTTGGCGCTGGTCATTATGAACATCATTCTCATTCTCAAAAAATTTTCACGGATCCTGTAATGCATCTTATCGAGAATAGTCATCCAGATAATCATCGAGCGTCATCTGTTCAATCACTTCAAACAATATCCTTCTCAGAACCACGACCAGCATCAATATCATATTCACATTTTCAAGATTCTTCTACAAACCAAGTTTTATCTTCTACTCCTTCTCTTCCTTCGAATGCACCACCAATATCATCATCAAAACATCAAGATGCACCACTTAATACTAGTCTATGTCGTATAGATAATCTTTGTCCAAGTCGAATATCAGTTACTAGAACTTTAACACAAGATGACAGCGTATCTGTTGTGATCAATAAATCATCGAATGAATGTACAAATTTAACAGGAACAAAAGCAATTACATCGAAAAATAATGAAAATGAAAATGAAAATGAAAATGAAAATTGTTTAATAAGAAAAAGGCCAATTGAAATTCGTGTTCGATGTATTTTTTCACGTGTTGGAGAAATTGATACACTTAATGAAAGATATACAGCTGAAATATTTTTTGAAGCTTCATGGTATGATGAAGATCATAAAATTGGAACTAAATATGATCCTCAAATGGGTCATTTTAATCCTCAATTAATTATTCTTAATCATCTTGGAGATTCTTTAAAACATGAAGTTAGTAAAATATTAATTAATAATAAATAAAGAAATTTTCTTTTTCCTTTTTCTTTTTCTTTAAGAAATGGTATTCAATAAATAAAACCGATCACAGTAATATTATTGAAATAACTGAACATCACAAAATACGTGGAGTATTTTGGGAACGTATGGAATTAAATCATTTTCCATATGATGTCCAAGAATTATCTTTATCCATGACAACACCATTAACAACTGATGATATATATTTTATAGAAAATAAACAAAAACTATCTGGTGTTAATCGTATTATATTTCGTGATCAGCAATCATGGCATTTATATGAACATGTTGAATTTACATATGAACAACATCGTGAAGAATATTCTTTAAACTATAATCAAATACATCCCGTTGCTGTTTGTACATGTCATGTTGGACGAAAGTGTGGTTATTATATTTGGTAAATATAATTCTTTTATTTTACAGATTTATCCAGATAAGGAAATATGTGTTGATCATTATGTTTTCTTTTAATAAAATAGGAATGCATATTTTTTAATTTTTTTAATAACATCGGCAGCTCTTTGTACATTTGCAATTCCACCATCAAATACTCAAGGTCGTCTGCAAATAACATGTACTCTTCTATTAACATCTGTAACATTTCGTTGGGTTGTTAATAAATCACTTCCGTAAGTTTAAAAGCAAGAAAAAAGTTTTTTTTTTCATTATTTATTCTTTCATTTTCTTTAAGAACAATATCATATTTAACAGCATTAGATGGTAATAATGATATATGTTCATTTCTATAGAATTTTTTTTTTAATTTTTTAGTTTATGGTATATCATCTATTGTTGCTTTATGTATTATAAATGTCTTTCATGGTATAATTGGTTATTTTTATTATAATCAAATATATTTAACTGCGTCTCAGCCATCAATTACAACTAATGAAATTCATCATTCACTGTACCCAGAATATTCTCTTTGTCGTTTAGATCGTTATGCATTTTTCATATTTTGTTCTTTATTTTGTCTTTATCAAATACTAATTCTTCTCTGTACAATGTGGATACCTTATAGACGGCGACGCGCTATGAGACGTAAAGACGAAAAAACTAGAGCAAAATTAATTAATACAACAACAGTAGAAATGACAAAATAAAAATTTGAAATAAAATTTTATTTATTTTTAAAAATATAAAGGCATTTACAATAAATAGACACAAATCAATATGGATGAAAGTCATTTTTTTCAAAACTTCACATTTTTTTTTTGTATTTCGCAGATTTTCTAGCAGTTACAATGGCTAACCATATAAGAGCTAAATATTCGTCATAGTATTTTAGTCTTGATCAGAAGCTTTTCTTTGACAACTTAGAGTACTACTCACTTTAATCAGTTTAGATAATAATCTACAAAAAAAATCGACGAATTTTCCTCCGGCAGAGTACGGGGAGTACACAAGAGATCACATTTCCACTTGATATATGGCACTCACCTTATCAAATGGTTTAGCTTCTTGAAAATTTTCCATTATTGAATCAATCTCAAGCTAGCTTTGGTCAACAATTATTATTACGTTTGTATTAAAAATATGGCAAATATTAGACGTGATGAATGCCTTCTGTATCTACAGAAGAAAATATCTAAAACTCTGTAGAATACTATTGTCATTCTATGTTCTCTCTATATTCACATGATCGTTTGAAAATGATTCCCTTTTTCTGAAAGTTAACGTCTAGTTTTATTAAATTGCTATTTCACTCGTCTTAAACGAGTTTTTTAATCTCATCTAGAAATAAATTGCTGAGTGATGATGATAAGTTGCATAGAATTTATCGATTTGAATGATTCACTAATCTTGAAACTGTCTTACAATAGAAAGAGCTAGTCCTTCTATGAGGAAAATTTTTAGTCAAAAAGCGATTGCTCAGGTATCAATAAATGAAATCCACTAGCTGAGAGCATAGTGTTGTTAATGCATGCGAAGCACAGCATTTATGTAGTAATTGGCGAGTTTTTTCTTTTATTTCACTTTCTCAATATACACATCAAAGTTATCATTTTGTGTAGCGGCAATCTCAAGCATGAAAACTCGGAGAATATTTGTTCAAACACTAAGTGAACGTATTGAGGCTGAATCTGTACAATTTTTTCTCCAATCTTTCCGAGGACGTTCTGTTTGCCTACTAATGATGTGCCAAAGGGTGTGTACGTGCTACCGCGTGGATGAGCGTGTTCTCTTCACTCACAACCATAAAATATAAGCAGAAGAAGTGAAAAAACCTTCAAAAATTATAAAATAAAATAAAATATGACCCAGTGTGCGAGACTATTTTGCAATGAATTTGTTTTCTTTATCATTCCTTCGTTTTCGTCTGACACCACTTATAACAACAGATAAATAAAAGAAATAAAGTGCCTAAGTGAGACGCAACTACGCAAAAGTCCAACGACAACAACAATCGAAAACAAATAGAAGTATCTAGAAAAAAAATTCAACATGCTATATAAATTCAAGTCANTCAACGTATAAATATTTTTTCGTATGTATCATTGTTGATACATGTTAGAATATTTTATTTTTAATTTAATCGTAAAGGATTAGGAGGTACATGATGAAGAAAAATAACAAGTACAATACGTGCAACAATTAGAGAAGTACAAGTACAACACGCGCAAGAATGAATACAAAGTACGAGAAAAATAGTTGGAGCAGAAAAAAACAAGCATAACACGCGCAAGTTACTAAAGGTACAAGTACAACGGTTGAAGGAGAAAAAATGCAACTAGAAGAACAGTTGTACAAAAAGCACAAGTACAATTAATTGAAGGAGAAGAAATCAGAAGTACACCAAAAGCTGGAAGAGAAAACAAACTAGAAGAACAACAATAGTTGGAGGAGACAGATTACCAGTACAAGAACAACTAAAGAAGAAAAATTACCAGTACAGCAATAACAGTTTAATGAAACCAGAAACATTGATGTTTATGGATCGAAATAATGCGGTTCATTTGCATCGCCGATAAATTGTGTATAAAAGTGCACCACTAACAATTGTCAAGCATTTGTAAATCCCTGGTACGCCACCCATTAGTCGTAAATAATTGTTAATCCCTGGCGTATTTGATTGAGGTATAACGACCAACTGTTTTTGTAATTTCTGAATTTCATTTGTTAATTTTGTAATATCTTCTTGATATTTCTTTTCATTTTCCTTTTTTTCATTAATTAAAGCTTCTATTCGCTTATCTTTCTCATTAATCAAGTTTTGGAAACCATTGATTAATTCTTGTTTCTTATTTGCTGCTTCGATATCCATTGATCGCCGCTAAAATTATGATAATCTTAAATTAATTAAATAGACTTAAATTTATTTTGTATAAACTTAAATGACCAAAATTCAAATTGGTGTAATCAAATTCTTCTGACTGCAAAAGAAGGATGAAATAGTTCAAATAAAGAAACGATAAATATTACTTACGTTAAAATATTGTCGACACATAATGTACTTGCTATTTGTAATAGTGTACGATGTTTCTGAAAAAACAATGCTTTGCACGCCTTTATATTGCTATGAAAAACGAACCGACGAAGAAAAATAGATTCGTAGACAAAACATGTGCGAGCGGTCTAGTCTAACATTGTTCTATCTATCGAACATGTACAACAACCAGTACATGTTCGAAAAAATTAAATGAATAAGTGAATTAAACGAGAACATCTATATGTAAGCGAGTGTTAGGGGTTCATTTTTGGAACCAATCATATTCTCGAATTTGCAACGACCAAGCAACAAGTTATTATCAACTTGCTTTTCTTCTAAAATGAAATGTTTTATAACAAAAAAAAAATTAGACTACAGAATGCGGCTGAAGCAAATTATTCTTTTTCATTCATGAATTTTTAGTTGTTCTTTGTCTGAAATAGATTTTTGAAGGTTTAGCAATTTATCAAGGTAATGATGGAGAATACGTCTTTTTCGACCTGACTTAAATATAAAACGAACTTACAAACAGCTGAATGAATGGTAGAGGTGGTGGTGATGGAGCTTGCCGAATAATTATTGGTGAATGAATAATAAGTCTTTTTGATGGTTCTGTATTGTTTCCATTTGATGCTGATTTTGGTACACTTCTGCTACTAAATTTCATTATCATTGATTGTTGTTCACGATATGATGAAGATGATGACAATGTTAAACTACCGCATTCCACTAAATCTGGATGTTGATAATGATTGTTATTTGAATATTGTAAAAGAAGACGATGATTTATTGGTGAATAGACTTGTTGTTATTGTGATAGAATATTAGCACGAATGACAAATTCATAATCTCCACGATGACGAATAAGATCTTGAGGACTACGATATTGTTCTTCTTCAGGTGATAGTCGAATAAGACGAGATTAAGATGATGATGTAGGATTTGAGGCATAAATAGAATTCTGATGATGTAATTTAGATTCTTTCTAAAAGTAAAAATATTTCTTTTTATAATGACTTAAGAATTGATTTTTTCTTTTACTGGTGATCGAAACCGTTCGTGTGTATCAGATCAATGTGCATGATCATTTTGAGAAAATTGAATCGTTAAGGGTGTGCGTGTGCGTGTGATTAATTATAAAGTAATCAACGACACCCACACCCAAAATGAATAAGAACATATATCGGCTTGTCCGCAGGTAACGCACTCACGTTTTGGCAAGTTTCAATCTCAATTTCTCGGAAATAACTAACGAGGGAACCGTTTCAAGTGATTCACGCCGATTTTGNAAAATAAAATATGACCCAGTGTGCGAGACTATTTTGCAATGAATTTGTTTTCTTTATCATTCCTTCGTTTTCGTCTGACACCACTTATAACAACAGATAAATAAAAGAAATAAAGTGCCTAAGTGAGACGCAACTACGCAAAAGTCCAACGACAACAACAATCGAAAACAAATAGAAGTACCTAGAAAAAAATTTCAACATGCTATATAAATTCAAGTCATTTTATTTTATTTTCTTCCGTGTGATAAAGTGCAACATGTACAATGGACAAAAAGAAAAACTGGACAACAAACACTGGCGCTGCTACTAACCCTGCGACAACTGAGCATATGAGCATAAGGTCACGACGGCCTCCTAATGCTCGTATTATTCAGAACTTCATTCTGATATGACTCTATGACAACACCGATGACATAAACAACAATGATTTTATCAATAGCATCAGCAAATTAAGAGACGTTGTGAACAAGGTGAATTCATTCAATGATGCGGATGAATGCATTGAGTTTATAACGGACATTCAAGAGAAAGTATTCATCATATTGTCTGGTTTCTTCGCGAAAGCAATTACTCTTATCGCCCATCACATTCCGCAAATCAGTAATATTTATATTCTGAGCGAGAATCAAGCTCACCATGAAGATTGGATCAAAGAATGGCCAAAATTAGCGGTGTCTTTACAGACATCGCTTCAATCTGTAAACCACTTCAACAAGTGGCAGATAAATGTGACCAAAACATGATTTCGATCGGTTTTGTCACAATCGGTGGTGGAGATAGCAAGCCAAACCTCGACCAATTGGATCCTTCATTTATGTACACACAGATAATAAAAGAGATTCTATTAACCATCGATTTCAACCAGCAGCACATCAATGAATTTGCTGCTTATTGTCGTCAATTATTCGCCACAAATCCAAGAGAAGTGCAAAATGTCAACAAATTCGAACGAGAATATCGTGAGTAAGTTCCGATTTGATGGTATACCAACCAATGGTTTTTGTATTCGATGCTCAATCGATCATTATGAATGATGGAAGTTGATCTAATTATTTGTATGGGGTTTTTCATTCAAGATCTTTACAACAGCATCGCCAAGTTTCATGCTTAACAGTTTACTGGACATGCGCATATAAATTCATTTACTGTTTATCGCGGTCAAGGACTGTTGCAAGCACACTTTGATCAAATGGTTAGTATCAAAGGCAGACTATTATCATTTAATAACTTTTTGTCCACAAGTTTTGACAGAGAAGAATCTCTTGCGTTTGCTGAGAGTAATCAAAAATGATCCTGACTTGATCGGTGTACTCTTCGAAATAAATATTAATCCATCAACATCAACTATTCCTTTCGCAAATGTTCATGACGTTAGCCATTTCGAAGAAGAAGAAGAAATTCTCTTCTCAATGCATTCCATCTTTCGTATTGGAGAAATGAAACAAATTCATGGAAATAATCGGCTGTGGCAAGTCAATTTAACATTGACTAGTGACAACGATCTAAAACTTCTTGCTCTTACTGAACAGATGCATATAGAGACCCATTCTCACCTCAAAGGATGGGAACGTTTGGGCGTATTGCTAATTACATTCGGCCACTTTCGACAAAGTCCAAGAGGTATATGATATCTTGCTTGGTCAAGCAACGACTGATGAGAAAAAAGCATATGTTTATCAACATCTCGCATTAGTGAAGTTGGGACAAGGTGAATATGCAGATACCATGACGTATTATAAACAATCTCTTGAACTTGCACAGAACAGTTTACCACCAATGCATGCCAATATGGCTTCTTCCTACAACAACATTGGTTCGATATATCATAGCATGGGTGTCTATTCGAAAGCGCTTTCATATTATCAAAAAAGCACTGAAAATTTCTCAATAAACTCATCTGTCGAATCATTCTCGCTTGACTGTCTCTTACAACTACCTTGGTTCGGTGTATGCAAATATGGGTGACTATTCCAATGCATTTTCATCTCATCAAAAAGCATTGGAAATTCGTCAAAAAACTCTTCCTTCAAATCATCCTGATGTCGCTCAATATTACAACAACATTGGTATGATGTATACCAGAATGGGCGACTATTCTAATGCACTTTCATTTTTGGAAAGAGTGCTAATTATTTTGCACTGCTTATTACCTGCAAATCATCCTAGCCTGCTCGTGATGAGGAGGATTCCGGAGTATGTAAAAAATAATATGTAATTTTTCTTTTGTTTTGTTCAAACAAATAAATGAATAAAGAGAAAAGAATATTTTTCTTTTGTATATTTAAAGAAGTACACCCGTGTACAAAGAAACTCTGTTTTGATGAGAACACAGTAGAACTATGCCTATTAGAAAAAGAACCAATACATGGTCGAATAATGAATACGTATTGTAAATAAAAGGTCTTCAGGGTATAGTTTGTATTTCAATAGAAAGCTTTTCTCGCCATGTGTTCGATTCCGGTCCAACTACGACGCAGTTGTGCGTAACTGCGTCGCAATTGCTAAAAGATATGAAATAGATAATCCTTTCATTTTATTCATATTTTTATTGTGAATTAAAAATTTTTTTAAACATAAAACGATAAAACTTTAAAAAACCAAGAAAATAAAAAATTTACTATTAAAACAATTAAAAAAGTTAGAAAAATAATAAAGTAAAAATGTAAAGAAAAACTAAAAAATCAAAATTAAAATCTAGAAAAATAGAAGACGTTGAGAAAATCTTAAAAAAATGAGAAAAATTTGAAAATAACTAACGACAATAGTTTTAAAAAAAATTTTAAATTGTTTTCGGAAAGCATTCTACCTCTTGTAGTAGAATGCATTATGAGCCGAAGTCTCGTGGCGACTACTTTTTATACAGTCCCTGCATGGCTAAATTTTACCGCTAGAGCATGACTAATCACAAATAAGGAGGAATTCCTTGTAATTGACTGGTGTGAGTTACAGCGGATCTTACAATACTATTACTGCGATGCAGTTGCGTTTATCTGCGTCGCAGTAACCGTAGATTCTGACAGAGGTTTTTACGTCGATCAATGTGCCGCAGTTGGTAAAAAAAGAGCGACATGGGTCTGCGTCGAATATAAAACCTTTCGACCAGCTGATAAGAAAAGAAAAAGAAGAGAAGAAAATTCTATGATTAATGCAATGAATTACTCTCTCTGTTTCAATGTAACTAAAGTTCATTACAGGACGACAAGAAGAAAGAAGAGAATGCTGATCGATTGAATGATTTGTTTTTATCTCGAGGTGAATTGCTATAACATTAGGATCAGAAACAGTAATTCAATTATACATAGAAATAATTTATTCGATGGATGAGAGAGAACAATCAGGGTTAAATGTATCCGAAAAGGATGACTTTATATACGATTAGAGAAGATAATTTTCTTTTTTTTTGTTGTGGTTGGAAGAGAAATGCACATTTGATTGATTGGTTTATTCATATGTAGATGAATATGCCTATCAATTAATTATTTAAAGTGGGAGTAAAGAATACAATAAAATAAAATAATAAAGAGATAAATAAGAAAAACCTTAGCACAGTAGTGTCATGCACAGAGAGAACAAGTACCAGCAACCAGTCGGCCCAGATTTTAGGCTACCCGATTTATCTGTATTTACCAGTTTACTGGTACTCATGTCGAACAATCCAAGGCTCGAATTCTATCGGATGCCCAAAATAATCCAATAACTTCCAATAGGAATCCGACAACTGCCGACGGGACCCTGTCGGAAATTGTTGAATTCTTTGTTATTGGATTCCGATAGAAAGTTGTCGGGTATCGGTTTCGTCGATTTCCGACAGTCGGTTCAATAGTCAGAAAACGCTGGAATCCCATGGAAGCCTGTTGAATTTATTAGCTCAATATCAGTCAGTATGGTTCCCACCCCCAAGTTTCTTTTCTCCTCAGTTAGTTGTAAATTAAGGTTGCACTTAGTTTTTGAATTTTATTAAAAAAGATTGAATCAAGTTTTTAAAAAATACAAAAAAATCACAATAAAACAAACTTTACTACAATAAAAATAAATAAAACTAAAAGAAAAAGAAAAATAATTTGTACTCGCTGCTAATAGGTCTCTTGTCGTGACACAATCTAAAACAAAGTAAAAAATAATAAATAGTAAAACAAAAACAAAAATAACTAAAATAAAAATAAAATAAAATAAAATAAAATAATATTAAATAATCAAATTAAAAAATTAAATTAAATAAAATGAAATAGAAAAAATTAAAAAAGAAAAAGCTACTTAAGAAAATCAAATAAAAAATTAAACAAAAAATAAATAAACTAAAAGAGTGAGGAAATTCAAGTATCTATAGATACTTCCATACCATCGGATGTCATCGGATCCTATTGTCGAAATACAACAAAATCCGACGTCGAAGATCGTCGGAAGTTAATGGATAATGATGGTTTCCGAGAGTCGGATCCAGTTGGATGCCGAAAGTCGGAAAGCGTCGGATTCTTCAAGGATCCGATAGGATCCTGTTGGCGAGATTTGATTTGGGTAGATATTGGTCTAACGGTAACAGATCGATTCTAACAATTAACTCTTGTTTGATAGTGAATTTTCGCGAGTTACTAACTTATATCATGAATTTGGACTGTGTGAATTATAGTGTGTTAATTTTGAATCTGTAGTCTTCTAATGAAAAATTATAGCAATTGGAATATTAATGTGTTATATTAGACTAATATAATATATTGGTATTTCAATCGTTGTTGTGTTTTAGAAAATTACACGTTGAATATCAGTACATAATTGTTCAAATATTTTAGATTCGTGATGTAAGTTAGTAACCTGCAAGAGTTTAGTATGAAACAAGATTTCATTGTTAGAATTGATCTATTACCGTTAGCGGATTCTCAAGAATTTTTAAAGGAGGTGCATAGCAGCAGGAAAATACCTTTTTGCTTCCCGAAAAAATTTTTATCTGTTTCCTCCTCTAACTATTTTTTGACCAAGGGTATACACAGACACTGTTGTACACTCTTGGCTACGGCTCTGATCACCGGTAGCCTTATCAAACAGGTTTACCGGCCGGTCCCGTCTGGTCTGACTTTTTCACACTGGTACTGATACCGATCATCAAAAAACTAGATCGGATCCATGTATGGTGTCATCAACATGAGATAACTAGTAAACGAACTCAACATGTGACAGTGATCATTTGAAATTATTTCGAATTAGTTTTTGTGTGTTGTTCATTTGAATAGTATATGCTTGAGAAATAAAATTATACAAGGTAGCATACAAAAATTGACATATCAATTATTCAACAACGAATATTGTTGAGAGAAGTTTAAAAAAGCAAGCATAATAATTCGTTTTTTTGCCTATGATCGAAATCGTACAACTTCAAAATAGTGTTTACATTTCTTTTTTTGTCTTTGAAATTTGTTTTTGAACAGAAGCGAAAGTTCATGACCTTTCTCCTCATCGCTTGTTAGACTCCATTTTTTCGTATCTTTGTGCTACCTTCAGAAAAGTTTTAAAATGATTTTTTATTTTCTATAAGAATTCTAATCCTGTTTATTAACAATATTTCCAATAAGCTATCGACACTAAGTGAATGAATGAAAATGCGATAGGAAAAAGAATTTCAAATAGTACATGGCAGCTAGTTCATACTTCATTGATGCTTCCAGGACATATTTGGAACTGAACCGGCAAATCGGTACCGGATCGACCAGTTCAATCCGATCGAAATTTTGAAACTGACTGTTTTTTTCTCACAGGTCAAATTATACCATAGCGCCGGCCGGTTTTTTACCAGTTCAATCATAAATGTAAAGTGGCCTGTTCGAAAAGAAACTCGACCGATTCTTAGTATACTCCACTATGGCAAACTTTGGAGCATGTGTATAAATCGACTATCATGTGAACTGAACGTTTGAGCATCATCTAATCAAAACAACTTGGTCAATTTCTAGGTTCGTCTTTGAAAAAAGGATCATGTTTTTCAAAAAATTTCCACTCGTTTCCTCAAGCATATTTTGTTTGAATTCAATTTTGAATAACTAACAATAGAAACTTCTCAAAGATGTCTTTTCTCAAGTCAAATCATAAGTAAAAAATATTAGATATTGAGATTTCTTAATGAAGTTGTTACGGTGAAAAAGGTTCTAGTCACACTTCTCACTATTCTATGTAATTCTTGTTCATTCTATAGTTTTTCGAATAGGGAAAAATTTCATATCTTTTATTTAATTTTTATTAATGTTATTTGTCCTATTCTTCTCTCTTGAAATCCTATATATCTTCCAAGATATTTTGGATCTTTATATTGTGATTTACTTTATCGTCATATTATTCCATCACCGGTCATTGGTTCATTCGGTACAATAATTGCCTGCAAAAACAATCAACATTAATATGATAAAAAACAAAACAATCTTTTGTACAAGTGCAGAGCATTACAATAAATAGTAATTTTGTTTATGTCATCAACGTTGCACATCAATTAACATTACAAAAAGAAATCATTTATCCATAGTCAACGAAAAAAGCAGACGAAAAACATTTGTTAATATGCAATGTCAATGCGACACGAGTATTAATTTTCTTTGCAATAAACACTATTAGCATTAATCTAACTAGTTATCCTTATCTATTGTTATGTTATTCATTGTTTTTTATCAGATACTCTGATGACAACTTTCACATGATATTGTTTATATGATTAATAAGATCAGTTTGAATCAACTGTCGTCCAGTATCAGTTGATAGTTCATTACTAGCTGAATCACTAATATCTAACTAAGAAATAAAGTTAGAAAAATAAACGAAGAAGAGTTTCATCTTCCTATAGTCATAACTCAGATTTGTTTCTTCGTTAAATTCATTCATTGTTATAAATGTAATACAAAATCTAGCATGATATGATCTGGATAATATTCCAATAAGATTTGATTAACTTAACATTGAACGATTATCTAAACCACATATAATTCTATTCTCAACTTCTTTTCACATCAAATATAGGTATTTTAGTATAAGATTTTTAATCATTGTTGCTTTATCATTTTGCATACGATGAAGATTTTTAAGGACATTTATATATTTTAGTTGAACAAATAGATCAAGACTATTTTCATGATAGAATTCCAATAGTAATATGCAATATAGAATAATACTCATCGAAATAAATATTTTATAAACTAAACTTCATTTCATCTTCAAAAACCAGGTCTTCCAAGCTATTTGTCCGTTGAATTATATTCAGTCAATGAATTTGATACCAGTAGAAAAATAAAATAGTATTTTATAATTGCTTCGACAAAAAATATTACCTTATCATTAACTTTGTACAACTATTTCCACACTAAAACAACATTCAATTGATGATATTGAATTGTAAAGACTAAAAGATTTAAATAAAATTTTATCAGTCATAGTTTGACCAACATTGACAAATTTGTGATGAAGACATTTGTTTTTTCATTAAACACAATTCATCAGCCGTATTAAATATTGACATCGTATTTTTCGCCCAATTTAGTGTGCAAAAAAAACTGGTTAGCACCAGTAAATGACTATTGTATTCGTTAGTTGATCGACAATATGTTCGAATAAAAATTTCTTCAGTACAGCGATGATAAATATTTGAGTAATCTTTAAAATTGATTGAAATCAATATTTATGAGAAAAATAACGTTCGTTCAAAATAAAACAGTGAATTAGTTGAATTGTAAATGCAGCTGCTAGCGAGTTTGGATATGAGTGTGAATCAACAGCTGACCGTTCACCTACACTCGCACCCACAAATACTGAAGTTGGTTATTTTCTCGAGTGAATACTTTCTTTTACAAAATTTTATATTAAACTAAGCTGTGACTGTTACTTGGGTGAAACTATAGGTACTTTGCCAAGAGCTCCTTTCTATACAAAACACTATTTTGGTTTAAGATCGATTTTGAAAAAATGATGATTTAAGAAAAACGAAAAAGAACTTCGAGTTCAATATTTACTTTCAAGTCGCAATAATGAAAGTACAAAAATGTACAGCAAAAAAAATATTTCGTCCAAACTATTTTTTGGACCTTTTAAAAGACGTAAAATTGCCACTCTATACTATACATTTTATTTTTTGTGTTTTAGAACAAAAATATATATATATATATATATGTTTGTATGTATAATAGGAAAATATTGAACACGTACAGATTTATGAACACAATGAAACAAATAAAAGAATATAGGAAGCACATCCATACTAAAAGTCTTGTCTATTGATATTTCATATTTATTTTACTAAGCTGACAGTTGTAATTGATTAGTCCACCATGATTCAATATCTTTTCGTGCATTAGCAAGATGAGTTCCTTGCCACGAACGCCATGGATAAGATTCATCACTGCTAAAAGTCAAACTAACATTTTGTTGTTGAGCTGATCGTTTTGCTCCTTTAGATTCACTAGTTATATCACGTGAGCTTGACTGTCCTCGATAGTTTGAATTCTAGAAAGAAAATTTTATATAACTTTAAAAAGAGAAGCAAATATATCAATATCGTAAACTTACATCAGATGAAGGTGTTGGTAATGTAATTGTTCGATCAAGCTTTTTCTTCGGTAATTCTTTTTGTAACTGTTGTTGTTGTTGTTGTTGTCGATCATCAGTATTTTTAAATCGTCGATCATCACCCCCTGAACTTTCTATTGTTGCTGTCTTTCTCAATGCTTCATTTGTTGTTATTGCTTGTGCTTCACGGAAAAATGCTAATTCATTACTACGTTGTAAATTTTTAATAACATTGGTTTGATCTTTAGCTTTAATACGCTTTAAACATTTATTAAGCCAATTACGAATTGTTAATTTTGCTACTTCTTCTTCAATTAAATATTCAAGTTCTTCACGTGCAAGTAATTCTTCAAATTGTAAAGATTTACGAATGTCAACTGAACGATAAGCTAACATACTAAATAGTAAATTTAAAAGTTAAAAATGAATTAAATCACATGAATTTATATTTACTTAAGTACATCATGAAATGTTACATCACTACCATTATTTAATTTTTCAATTTCATAACACATATGTTTATAAAGTTTTTCTGCATCAACTTCTAATCTTCCCTATAAGAGAAAAGAAAAAACAACACAATCTTTCATTAATAGATTATTTATAAGAAAATAAATTTACTCGAAGTAATCGTAATAAAAATTTTACACGTCGAGCTGGTATAACACCTTTTCGTCCTGTATCAATCATATTCCAAACAGTTTGAAAATGACGAATATCTGTATAACTAAGTAATGCATCTTCTTCATTAGAATAAAATAATGAAAAATTTTCCATAATAATAGCAACAAGAAGATTCAATACGATATAAGTAATTATTATATAAAATGAACAAAAATAAAGTATTGATGCTGTAGAATTTCCACAATCACTTTCCCAATATGAACCACCACGTGTGCATCTTGGTGGTACAACCATACAATCATGCATTATTTTATTCCAATCTTCACCAGTTACAATTCTCATGAGAAGAACAATTGCATTAGGTACTGTTCTAAAATTGGCATGTCGTCCAAGTTCAGGACCAAATTTAACACAACCAAAAAGAAGAACACCTGCAAATGCATATACCAACATAAGTAAAAACATGCCGAGAATAATAAAAAATGATTTAAAGAATGATACAATAATAGTCAACATGAGCATTTTAAGTGTAGCCTGAAAAAAAAATTATAAAGCAAAAAATGTTTTCACATGTTTCTAGTTACATGTTTTCCAGCAATAGTAAAAAATCGTAGTATAATCACAGTAAATCCAAATGTATTACTAAATTCTTGCTAAAGAAAGAAAAACAATTAATTTTAATTTTTTCTTTTTCTTATGAATTCTTACAAGATCACTTTTTCCAATAGAAATAAAATTTATTATAATCCAAGAAATTCCAAGTATTGTAACTAATAAATCAAAACGATTACGACGTGACTGCCAATAACCAACAAAACCAAGTGCAATACATTTCATAACAGCTTCAACAAGAAATAAAAATGTAAATGATGATGATATTAATGCAGATATTTGTGTTATTTGTTCATTAGGTTTCCATGGTTTATAAAGTAATGCACAATTAAGTAAAACCAGGACAGCAGATGATTTTTTAAATAATTTGTTTTGTGTTATATCAAATACATAGGAACGAAATTTGCTATTTTCTGGTCGAGGTGGTGTACGTAATGGTTGAGCAAGTTTGATGCGACCTTTTAAATCCAACCAACGACGTTGATCAACAGTTAATAATGCTGTCCCCTATACATAATTTTATGAAAACAAAGACAAGACCTAATATTAATAATAATAATATTTACTTTGTTTTCCGAATAATTAGCAATAACAACACCAACAAATAATGTTAAACCAACTAAGGTTCCAATAAATACAAAAATATGGACAAAAATAGCATGTTCCTATAGTAAATAGTTTTTCAATTCATATAAAAATTTAAAAGAAAAACTATGAACACCTACTGGTCCCATACGATCCATAATAATATCCCGAATTTCAAGCCATCCTTCAAGTGATAAAACTTCAAAAAGAGCTAACATAGCACTACCAATATAATCAAAATTAAAATTATGTGGATTCGCCCTAAAACAATATTCATTTAAAAAACAAACAAAGAGTTTTATTCAAAAAGTTTCGATTATTTACCATACTCTTGGTACCAACATAACTGGATCGGCTCCACTAACATTCATTTTTGATACATAAAGTTCTCTCCAAAACGTTCCACGACATAATTCCTACAATAAATAATTTTAGTGTATAGTATCAAAATCCTTTTTTTTCTTCATATACTTGTTGTTTATAATAAGTTCGATCATTACAACGAGCTAATTGACCACCAATTATTTGAACACCATATATAGCAAAAATAAACATTAATACAACGAGTAAAATTGAAACCTGAAATTTATTCTTATTAATATAAATAAAACTAAATTTTTTAATTCCTACTAATAAAATTTCTTTAAATCCTCGACAAACTTCATAAACTACTTTACGCATATCTGGTACAAGAATAATAATACGTAATGGTCGTGTTGCTCGTATAAGCATTAAAAATTGAGAAGCACTATTAGCTGGAACATGTCTTGGTAACCAACAAAGAAAAATAAGACTAATAAAAAAAAACGACACATCAATAACACCACTAAAATCTCGTATTAATGCTTTTGGTGTAAAAAATAAACCATGAGCAAAAATTTTTAATGTTAATTCAACACTCATACAAATAACAAATGCATATTCAGCTATCTAGAGAAACAATTTATAAATATATTGAAATGAAGAAAAAAATAATAATAATCCAAATCATACTTGTAATAAAGGTTGATCAATAACTCGATTAATAGGTGTTTCAAATGACATACTGACTGCTGATAATATTGTAACAATGATCATAATCCAATCAAGATATGTTACTAAACCAAGAAATTTACTAAACAAAATAAATAAATAGATTATAAAATTCAAATATGAATTTATTTTCAATAAACTTACTGTCCTTGTTTATATCGACTAATTTTTGATTCTTGTCCAAGACGATCTTTTGCAATAACATTATAACGAGCTTCAACAACAAGTTGACAAAATTTTCGAAAATTACTTTCACGTGATATTGTAAATAAAGGTGTATCAAAATATGGATGATTTTCACGAAGATCTTCTTCTTGTTGATTTCTAAAAACAAAGTATTTTTTTTGTAAAGTTATAACTTTTCGAAATGTACCGTTTTAATTCAGCTTGTTGTTTTCGATATTGGAATACTTTTATATCATAATCATCTTGAATTCGACCTTGTAATGCATTTATATCACCATTTTCACGTATAGTATGAACTGTTTTTGGTCGATAACCAGAACGACGCATAGAACTTCTACTATAAACAAAAACAAAAACTTTTAATTGTATAAAACGAAATGATAAAAAAAAGACTTGATTTTACTTTCGATGAAGTCGCATTTTACTTTGTTGAACATAAATTGATAATTTATTATCACCCACACTCGCCAAATGTATTTGACTAGCGTCGCCACTTAATAAACGTTGATTATTTACATTTCTAAATTATTCTTATTTATGTCTTTGAAACAAATGTTTTTTTTTTCAAATAAAACTAACCGAATAATATTTGAAACAGCTGTACGTTTCATACTTTCACCTGTTGGTCGATGTTCAGCTAGATGTAATGTTCTAACTGCATTTCTTTTACTATAGACATTCATTGAAAGTTCAAGTGGAATTGTATAAATATCATCTTGATTAAGAAATTGACGCATAAAACTATCGCGAATTTTCGGTATTACAAAATCATGTGGTAAGCGTGATAATTCAATCATTTGAGGATGATCAGGAAAACGTTCAAATATACGCAAACGCCATGGTAATTTTTGTTGAGTTTCAGCACTAGCTTCACGTGTTTTTAACTAGAATTAGTCAGAATTAAAAGATTCTCACTAAGAAAAAAAATACTAATTCACCAACCTGTTTAATCATTTTCACATCTTCTTCAAGTTCAAGATTGTCCAAAATAACAGCCACGAAAAGTGAAAGTACAATCTATTAATCAAAAATCGTTTCCTAACTACGAATAAATATTACAAACAAAACGAAAGTGACAAAAGCAAAACACACACAGACAATAACAATAACATTCAAATATTCATACCAAATTAATAGCAAGATGATAAACAATAAAATAAATAGCAACGAATGGTGCTACATCTTGAATGCTATATAACATTGTGTAGTGCATAACATCTACCCATCCTTTTTGTGTTAAAACTTGAAACATTGATATAAATGCCTATACAATCAATACGTGATATTGTGTGCATGGCTTAAATGTCATAAATCTTAAAACAAATTTCTAAGGAGGGAAAAAAACAAATGCATATCGAAATCAAAAATATTTCATTCGTACTCATGCTTGAATTTTGTCATTCTTGAAAAACTTACAGAATTAGTTAATAAATGAAAAAAAATAAAGAAAAGTGCCGTTAGGCATAAGAAGAAAATTCCAAATTCATAAACTTCATCCATTGCTGAATACATTACTTCTGTCCAACCATCATTCATAGCAATACGAAACATAGACATATATGCCTGAGAATATTTTCATTATCGATAACACAACATTTAATTATGTACGTACTCGAGGAAATGTTTCAAATTGTTTTAAATTTTTAATAAAACAAAACAATTGCATACTAATTGATGATGTTATCAATAATAAACACATTGTAAATAATATTAAACTACCAAGTTTTTTACCTGGACCAAAAATCTAAATAAATCAAATTAATAAATATATCAATTTTAAAAAGGCAAAATTTACTTTATTAAGAAAATCTTCAAGTAAAGGACTTGATTTAAGTAGACGAGCAACACGAAGTACTTGAAAATAAGTAAATGCACTTCGATAAAATAATGGTATACAATGAAGTGTTGTTCCAATAGCAAGCATAAATTCAAATTTAAATGTTGATCTTCGAATATAATTTTTAAAACCAAGTGAAAATATTTTAAAAATTGTTTCCAAATCAAAAAATAAAGTAAATAAGCTCTTTAAAAAAAAAACATTTTAAGAAAATTTTTTATCATAAATTTATATCTTTACCTCAATTCTATGATAAAGTTCTCGATTTTGTTTATCACGAATTTTATCATGTGTATGTTTAATAGTAGCCGTAAAGATTGTATTAGCAAGTACAACAATCATAACAATGGTTGTAAATACTGGTGATTGAGCAATTTTTAGGCAAACAGCAGGTACGACACCTTTCTTTTTATTTTCATCAATATTAACTAATTTCAAAGTACTATCATCGGATTTTTGAAGTATCTATATATATATAAATATCTAATGTTAGTTTAAATAGAAAACAAAAAAGCAACAACAAATTCTTGTTTACTTTTGTTGCTTCAATACTCGAAGGTGCTCCACGTGAACCCCACATTTGTTGAAATTGAACACGAATTTCAGCAAAAGTTTCAATAATAACGGCAATAAATACATTCTAATATTGAATATCAAAAATAAATAAGTTTTTCAAAAAGAATAAAACATACTTTAACAAGCCATGCAAGAAAGAAAATCATTGTAATAAAATAGAAAAAAGCACGCCATGATGGAAGACTATCAATAGCGCGATACATAAGAAATACCCAACCTTCTTGACTAGCAGATTCATAAACCGAAAAGAAACTAGTTGCTAATTCATCAAAACCATTATAACCGCGTAGATGACGCGGAATCTCAATTTTTTTACATTCAAAATTTTTTGGACAATGAAAACCATCTTTAGTTGGTGAACAATATGTATCTGGTATCATTAAATCTGACTTTGTAACATTACTTTAAAAAAAAAATTTTTTATTATAATCAAACAAAATATTATTTCTTACTTTAAATTTGTACCGTTTTTTACACAGTGGAATGTTAATGATCCAAAAAATTGTACACCCAAAATAGCATATAAACTCATAAAGAATAAAAAGAACATTGTAACATTATATATTTGAGAACTTGAACGTCTACACAAAAAAACGAAATATGATATAGAATTGGTAAAATAAAAATTTATTTTTTATTAACATACTGAAGAATTGATTTTATCTGGCTTTTAGGTAATTCAAATTTGAGAAATGTTTTAAGTACTTTAATAAGTATAAAAGGACGTGGTGCACGAATGATTGTAAAATATGTATATTTATTTACCACACCAATTAATTCCAAAGTCTAGTATAGAATTAAAAGACAAGAAAATAAAACATTTCAAATATAAGTATTACCTGTAATATAATAGAAAAATAAATACATAAAACCATAACAGCATCAAAATGATTCCATCGATCACGTAAATAAGCTGAATCACCAACTAATATTCCTCTTGTTTTCATTTTTGCCACTGCTTCAATTGTTAATATAATTGCACAGATAATATCAGTAATAAATGTTGCATATTGAAGAAATGGATGATATTCAAATGTTTTTGGTGTATTCAAACATGTTGAAATAAAACTTAATAAACCAGTAAGACGAAATACATATTTAACTAACGGTTTATTCATCCATTCGAGATTGGTAACTGATGTATCTTCTTGACTATAGTCCATCAATGGAACAAAATCGTTACGGAAACTTTGTTTTCTCATCAATGTTATCATTGATGAAATGGCAGCGCCAGCCGACGAGGCTGTGGCTGCCATTCTATCTTTCTATATTATTTGTCTAAAAGAAAGATAAAAAATTCGGTTGAGTGATGATGAGTAAGATATACAAAACGATAGACAGAAACAACTAGCAAAGAAGATTACACACGTTCCAATGTAGCCACCCAATTAGTAGATACATATGTAGAAAAATATGTGTCATGAGAAGAAGAAAAAAAGACAGAGAGAGAGACATTTCGACTTCTGTTTTAATAATGTTTGCCTATCGTTAGAATAATATTCATCAAGCATTAAACGAATATGCACTGCATATAAATCTCATGTTTCTTAAGTCGAGTAGCACATGCTCTCGTCGTAGTTTGACAGGCATAAAAGACAAAGATGACATCTTCTTTTCGCCTCGCTCACTGCTTATCATTCACTATCTATTCACTTCTTTGAAAACAACAAATGCTATGGGGCTAGATAGTTTTGGCTTCCATCGTTGATTGACTTTCCTCTCTCTTTCTCACTATCTTCTTTTTTTTTGCTCTCTCTCTCTTTCCCATGAGTCTATTCTTATGGGACATTATATTTTACGGAATGATGTATGCAAGTACACGAGAGAGAATTCGAAATTAAATCTTCATAAATTGGATGACAGGAAACGACGTGCCTCAATACAGAATAACACATATGTCGCTCAAGTATAGTATAATACAAAAGAGTATGGCTAGTATCCATAGGTTCATCATTGCTGGAAGTAACAAAAGAAAAAAAAACAACGGTTGAAATCCATCATTTTTCTTCTATCCTTCATATGTCTATGATGTTTGCGTGCTTTCTTTCATTACCGTTTCGAAATATACATATAAATATATATATGAGAACACATGAATCAACTACAATAAAATTATAAGTCACAATAGTCTTGCTTCATTTTTCTTCGTCTTACAAACGATATGTGCTAATGCTTTTTTTCTTTTGATTGTTCTATAATTGTTGTTGTTATTCACTATTTTTACGCCTATCAAGAAAAGAAAAAGGAGTGTGAAAAAAAGATTAAGGTAGCAACAATAGCTAGAAGGTTGTTGCTTCACACAAATAATTAATAAGCATATATAAATATATATATATAAAATACAAAACGGCGATAGTAAACGTCATATGAAAAGAAAAAAGAGAGATAGGCGAGAAGAAAAAAGTGTTAATTTTGCTTGCTAGTTCTCTCTGCTTTCTTTTATCCCAAGCGTGTTACTCGCTTAAAATAAGAAGGAAAAACTAGTGATGAACAGCCAACACATGCACATCCATAATATAAAGTAGCAACTATCATTCTATCGTCATTTTTATGCGTTCGTGATGTTGGTTATAGAAGTATTACAATCACAAGAGATACGTGTGAACGTGCATGCATGTAACAAAAAACACAATAAAACCAGCCTGTCTCTCCCTCTCTCTCTCTCTATATATATATATAGCACTATTGGTGATGGCAATTATGTGACGATAGCGTTGGTAGAACAGTGAGAACACGAGACCGATAAAGATTGTATTCGAAGAGAAGTAGTAAAAGCTGTGTGAAGACATGGAGAGACACTGAAAGAAAGACAAAGCAGAAAATCTATCTGTCTCTCGTGGCACAACATCTATATGGATCTAAAAGATGGATATAGGGGGGAATAGCAGTAGCATATAGTCGTTGTTTGATGCGACAGAATACAATCTCTTTTTTTGTTTCAATAACTAGTGGCAAGGCTGGTTCCTGTTGAGCTCGCCGTCGCTTCTTCATCTTCTTTTCTGTTACTATTATATAAAACATTAATCCTAGCTGAAATAGTATATGATTGTGCTTCAATAAATTGAACCATGCAGACTATTAACAGTTGCTTACTGTCTATATTATTCGTTCTTTTTCTTTTTTTTCTTTCTAATATATAAATATAATAAGAGAGTTTCAGGAAGTGAATGCTACTATTGACACACTAATAATAGGTATATACCCGATAGTCATTCAATAATATTTAAAAATGATATTTTTCATTTCAATTTATGAAGATTTTAATATTGAGAAACTTTCTTTTTACCGTTTCTTTTTTCTTATGTATTTTATTCATTTGTTCTATTACTCAACAAAACCACCAATGTTGCATTGTGGTCGAGCTATGTGTCAGCAATTAATGATCACGAAAGCAAAAAAGAAGGAAATACACATTGATCACTTTCCTTTTTGTCGATGACAGAAACTAAAGAAACAAAAGCTAAACATAACAAAAAAAGAAGAAAGAAGACAATTCTTTAAGCCTGCTTAATATTACATCGATTGGAATGCATTTGGGATTACTTTGTTTACATAAAGGATGATTGAATGAATACAGAAACTAGTCAATGTTTTCATTATCTTCATCTGAAATGAGGTTTATCAACGGTAATTACCATAAAAAATAATGAAGAAGATTATTTTTGATATATTCTAGTGCCCTCTACGTTTTTATCACTGATGACTGGAACTTTTTTTTGCCAACAATCGAATATCAAATGAAAAAGAACGAACGAATATATACATACAGCATAGAATATCTTCTTCAACGAAATGAAATCATCTTGTCAGACGAACAGGAAAAGAAATTGATCAGTCCGATATGAACAAAAATATACAGCATAGTCAGTATTGGTTAAGATTAAATTGTCTTTTCTTCTTTTTAATCTATATTCAATGATTAAAAATAATTAAAAGATTCTACACCTATTCTAGAGTCTGTATATATTATATAGAAGAATGAGATGTATAGCTGCCAATCGATCTGTCCTTACAGTACTCGATCAAAATGCTACACTATCTGATAGTAATGACAATAATAAAACGGCGACGACAAATGATATTCAATGTATGGATATTATTCAATTTGCTGATGGGTGGTATTCATATCCTGATTTGAATACATTTAACAGTGATTTACTTCTTGATACACTTACAATTCGAGTAAATATTTATCTTTTCTCACTTTCTTTAATCATTTATCGTTTTTCCTAGCATATCAAATCATCAAAAGCTATATCTCCTTGGAATATGAAAGCAGATAATCCGACTATTATTCCACTTACTGAAATTGGTATGTGATTTATTAATGAATTGTATTTTTTTAATATTTCAATTATAATTTCTATATAGCAACGCGTCAACTTGAAGCACTCTTCAATTTATCACAATTGCTTTTCGGTTTAGCTCGAGCAGAACAATCGAATTATACATTTCGAGATCTACAATTAGGCCAACATCCAAAGCAATTTCATGAAGCTGGATTCAATAAATTCCGTAAGAATCGATAGCATTATAATTGACTTATATTATGAACAAATGACTATGTATTTAGCGAATAATCATCGACCTATTGATTTCTTTGCTATTTTTCAACTTGTTGTTAATGATGTTATCAAATCAGGTGCTATTGATGTTGTTTTTATGATGTACAAAGTAAATTTTGCTGTATTCTTTGCAGAGGTGCAGAATCTACCCGTGTGTGCATACAGCCGTGTGGGGAAAATTTTCGATGCATAGAAGAATTTTGAGGAAATAGCTTGGGGAAGACACCATCGTGCGGGAAAATTTTTTAAAATCACGGCAGATTCTGCATCTCTGGTTCTTTGTGTTATTAATTTATATTTTATTTAAAAATTCATATTTTTTTGTTTTGTTTAAGGATCCTCGTATTCGATGTGTTAAACAAAAATGTCTTGATTTATTAAGTAATGTTGCAACTATACCTGAAGTTGCACGTATTATTCTTGATCATTATTATGAATTTCTTATTCAATTAGTACAAGGTATTCGTGATGGACATTTAATTGAAGAAAAGATTCCATCATTATCTGTTCTTTTACGTTTATGTAAAGTAATCGTCGATAAAAATTTAATTGAATCATATCAACACTTAATAGATTTGCAATTTATTGATATTGTTATTGATCTATTTGATAATAATGAACATAAATATATTGATTTTGTTGTTTATTTTATTAAATTTGAATCACTTGCACTTCAATGTCTTAATATAATGTTACAATGTGCTGAACATGTTGATATGTGGTCAGAAAGTATGTAATAATAAAGACAAAACAAAGAGCTGTTAGCATCATCTCTGTCAGATTAAAATGTTAAACACGACGTAACTCCTTTTCTTAATCACAGGAAGATTGTTTTATTCTACCTATTTTGGGATACATTTCTTCAACATCTTGTTACTTCATTCTTCAGAACTGCAATAAGGAAGAAGTCTCATATATTATCATGAGATGTATTCGATATACGGTCTTTAATTCTATACCAACAACATCTGTGACAGAGAGCGGTAACATTGCTAAGGCGTTTTGTCATGATCTGTAATGATCTCTGGCTAATGCCTGTCATCATTTGTAATGGTTTCTGGTTAGCGTTTTTGACGATCTCTGACTAGCGTCTTCATGGTCTCTGTTTGACGTCTGTCAATTTTTTGTGATAGTGAAAATTTCTACGCTATACACTTCAACATTCCTTTTCGATCGTGTTTCACAAAGTTATCATATAGCATTGATTATTTAATATTTAGGAGCACAAATTCGTTTAGTAAATTATTGTTGTACATTATTACATAAATCTGTATTGGATGATGAACATAAATATCATCATAAAAAACAAATTGAATTAAATCATCTTATTTATGCTGAACAACATTCGATTATTCATTCACTAAGTTATGCAATTTTAACATTTTTAAGTGTTGTCCGATGTCGAAAAGAAATAGGAACATTTTATCGTGAAAATGAACATTTTAGAGAATTACTTAGTGCAATGAGACATAAATATGGACCTCGAAGTGAATTTATGTCACGTGATCCATCAATATCTAATGCACTTAATCAAATTGCTAATGTTCTTTTTGATCGACATCAGCGAAAGAAAAAGCGACATCATTATTATTATCAACAACAATCCAAAGATTATATGAAACAAAATCCATATGATCAATGTCAAGATGAAGAAGACGATAATGATGAAAATCGACAATATCGTAAATGTTCAAATTCTTTATGTCAAATAATTGAAAACGATGTAAGTTATCTAAAAATTGTTAATTTTTTCTAATAAAAATCTTTTTTTTTTCTTTTAATTTTCAAGCAAGTAAAATTTCAACATTGTCCTCATTGCCATAAGTTATCATATTGCAGTCAATATTGTCGGGAAATTCATTGGACACTCAATCATAACTTATCGTGTCGATCGATTAATCATAATGGAAAGAAAGATGACTCGACTGTCTTATGTACAATAAATCGATGTTCTGAAACATTACCAGCACCATATCAAGAAAATAATACATTGTCGATGTTTCACAACTCGACATTCGAAACCTTACCCGTACAGATGTCACAACCAATTATTGAGCCAACAGCCGAGATTACAAATGAACTGTGTTATCCACCTTCATCATCATCCACTACAACTACCAAAAAGAAGTCGTTTAAAACTTTATTATCACTTCTTCGTTTTTGGTAGTAAACGGCGATAAAAAAATCTATACCATATGTCGTAATTGCTTTTTTTTAGTAATCTCTCTGCATGACTACAATAATGTTTTTTGGTTTTATATGAATTGTATCTATTTGATGATTGTCAGATAGACTGTATTATTAACTGTTTGTGTTTATTGGAAAGATAAAATGATTTATAGGCAATATTTTCTATTTGTATACATGACAAGCGACGGAATCATGGAATAGAAAGAGAAACTTTACAGAAAGTCTTTTTTTTTTGTTTGGATTGAAAAATTATTATTTCTAAGTTGACTATTTTCAAAGTAGGAAGAAGTATTATGCCAAAATGTTAAATAAATATATTTAATCAATCATAAGAGTTATTTATTCAAAATGGAAAGTTAATTATAGAATTCAACTAGATGGTACTAATCATTTACATGATATTAACAAAGAATGAAAAAGCAAAATTAATAAGAAGAAAATGTACGAGGATGTCAATGAGTGGGACTTTATTTCTATTGACGTCTGTTTCCATGAGTTTGCATTAAATAATTAAAGATAATGAAAATACATATAAGTACAAAAAAGTCCACGGCTAAATATAGTTTTATTTAATTATAACGTCACTTTGTATTGTTCGTAATTTATCAAAGTTATTACATATAGCTTTCGCTTAAAGTAAAATGTTTATAAATTTAGAAAGCAAGTGAGATTTCTACGATAACAATGGTATTTAGTTTCTGCTAAGAAATTTAATAGAAATATGATTGATTAGAAAAAATAGTGCACTTGATAACAAAGATAATTTCTTACGAATTTTTTGTTTTGATAAACATATAGTGAGTACCGAAATTATCTAACAAGGTTTATTCTTGGTTCTTTGTGCTGTCGTAAGAGCTAGAAAGAATTTGAATAGAGAAATTTTTTTTTCTAAAGAAATATAAGGAAACAAAAACTATTATCAGATTAACAAAGATGGGAACTCTAGAAAACTAAAACCCTAGTTTTCGATAACTAATGCGCGCAAATATAATTTGGCTTAGCCTACGTATAACGATTGAATAAATCGTAATCTACACAATGAGATATCGCCAATTTCTTTTGCGACGATTTTTAGTTGAGATACAGGAATTTGATTGAAAGTAAAGAAATGGTTTTTCTATCGAGTATAGGAGAAAATGACTTTAGATGTTTTCGTAAGATTGCCGTATCTTAGCTAAAACATGTTACAGACAAATCGAAGAAATCTCATTTTGCACAGAATTGTTTGCTTTATCGTTCTATGTAGTCTAAACAAAATAATATTTTTCCGTTCTAGGTGCTGAAAAAACTATTCTCTTGATTTTCTAGAGTCCTTATCTTTAGAAGCTTGATAATAACTTTCATTTCCTTATATTTCTCTTGACAACAATTTTCTCTATTCGAAGTCTTTGTGACGCTTACACTAGTGGAAAAAAATGAACAGAAATTTTGTTGAATAATTTTGGTATCTACTATACATATATAATATTTTTTAATTCAAAGTAAAATTATAACTCACCTGATAATATAATATTTGTAAAAGTAGATTTGAAACTGATTATCGATAACGTATATTTTAGAAGACATGTTTGTCTGACAGAAAAAGAGTTATGACTTAAGAAAATTTGTTTTTAAAAATAAATATCTTTATCACGAGCATTTGTGAACATTATAAATATTCTGAATTACAAATGAAAGAAAGCAATTTCATAATAGTTGAGTTCTGAACACGGCACTTTGTACTGTTCCTTAATTATGAATCATTGACATTAAACTTTAATTTGAAAGTTTTTCTCTTGAAATAAAAAGTTCCATATAAATATTGAAATGATTTCAAGCATTTTGTACTTTGCACTTTGCGTGACAGTAAAAAGTATCTGCCGTTGTTCATTCATTTCCAGGTTTTTCTAAGATTGTCATGACTATATGATATTAATGAATTGGTGCTTAAGGATTCCTTTTACCATATAAATCGAGCGTATGTCCTTTTCTAACACTAAACGCAACGAAACAATATCTTGTCTGTGAAAAAATAGGGTCAGAAAAAAATCCTTTGGTAATGGTTCTAGAAGAGATTATAGCTCCGTTTAAGTAATACTCAACCATTTGTAGGAGCTACTCAAAGCATTCCAAGGGAGAGTTTGAGCTCGTTCTAGACACCGTCTGGTTACGCCACTACATATAAACCGCATAAATAGCAATATTTAAAGTAATTATTCAAATAGTAATAATTACCATATCAACATCTGAAGATCATAAACCATTGCAATCCGTATATTTCATACAAAGTACTTTTCATAGTTGCTGTCATTTAACAAGAAAATAAATATGAATACAACAAATCGATAGTATGATTAAAAATCTGAACCATGAAAAATATCCTTCTAAAAAAAGACTATATTTGAATAACATCTAAGCAGAATACGGAAGAATATAATATTTACTTAAAAGTTTTAATTTCACTTTTATTATTATCATTGATTCGACAGACGAATCAAATTTTTCATGAACTTCTGTTGTCCATAATTGAGAACGAAAATTTTTCAATTTTAACAAAATAGATGAAAGAAGATGTTTTATTTTGTTATTTCAAAAATCAGATATGCTGGCGTGATATAATTTTCTTTAAACTATAGCTCCTAGTATCTTGTGTAATTTGTAAAAAAAACCTTAGACGAATTCATTGATCTGTTTGATTTTTATTGACTATGCAATCGTAGTATGTGGTTTGTCCTCCTTTCAAAATCATGAAACCACTTCTTTTTACAGCCTGCTGTGCATTTGTTCTAATTAGAAAATTTTCTTTATGGCACATTAATTCACTACAACAAATTGTAGTTTATTTAAGGAGCACTTTTTATTATAGCTTTCTTTTGATTATGACGATACAAATAAGTTTTTTGATCTACACTGAAAATTGTCAGGAGGAAGACGACGAAGGATATTTTTTTCATATGATGTTTAAAAAATTTATTGTTCAATACAAAACTGTCGTATTTGAAATCTTAACTGGTTACATTACGTAACTTATATGCCTTCATTACATTATAAATAGCAGCTGGAAGAAGCTTATCTTAGTCATAAACAGCAGCGCCGATCTCATTAAACATATAGCCAGTTTTAGCACGTCGTGTTTATGTCGATAGAGAATAAAATTTAACACAACGGGCTATGCTAATTTTCATTTGATAATTCTTTGTTTGATGAGATATATATATCTAGTCTTCATTTCTCAAAGTGCTGAATTAAATTTCCGTGAAATTTTTCTCGTAGTCTTGTTATTTGAATTTCCTACGAATAACAACTTATTCATGGGCGGCGGAGCCATTAGGCTTGGGGAGGCTCAAGCCTCCCCTAAAATGGCATAATGGAGGCTTGGAAAGGCTCAAATATCTCAAAACATTTTAAAGACATAATCCTCAGTTTATGCTTTATTACAGAGAACTCTTTGAACAAGAATTGTCGCGCGTTTTTCTTCATGATAGACTCAGTCAAGCATTAGATAATCCATACTCACTATTATATTTCTTCGAAACATCTTGATCTATTAGTTATAACAGCTTCTCAAAAGAGCTAAATAGTGAGTGCATTTAACTTGCCTTTAGCACATCTAT